TCAGGGTGAAGTCTCTCTCAGGGAGGCGTGATAGGGAATGTCAAAGGACACACTGACAAAGAAGATTAATCAGAACTGACTTTGACAAGCACTGTGGCAACTGGACAATTAAAACAGACATTCGAATGGCAGGGTAAGAAGAACAAACTGGGGAAGAGGGTAGAGAGAATGGTGCAGCAGTGAAGGAATGAAAACCCCAAATCCCTGTAAATGTTCATTAAAACTAATAAAATTTAATAATAAAAAAAAGAAGAAAAATATTCCTAAAGTGTACTTCTCACTTATTTTGCTCTTAAATTTTCTTTTTATTGTTTTTATTTTAGAATAGGGTGATATATTTACAAAGTGAACTATTTCAAATTATATAACAAATAAATTAAGGAAAATGCTATACAATCTTGTTTATTCCACTTAGAACTGAAAAATATAAGGACATTTGAAATGCAAGGCCTTAGAGAACTTGTATGTGTCTGTGTAATTTTTTTTTTTTTAGTTTGGCTTACTTACAAAGTTTTTATATATTGTGTTTCATACTGTTCCTCATTCATATTTTCTTTCATACAATCATTCTCATGTGCTATGTTTTAGAAAATTAATCACCATTAGACCTTGCCCATCATTACTCTGTCTTTCACCCTGTTCCTTCCCATTCCCTCTGCCTGAAACAACAATAACATTCTACAGCAGGTTTGGCAGCAGGAGTGGCATCCACTTCCTAAAGAACATACCTCTGGAAACTCTATGAACTTTGTTAAATGTCGATAGTTGTAGAGGGGCTTCAGGCCTTTTGTTCATAGGGTCACTGTGAGTCGTACCTGACTGGAAGGCAGTCAATAACAACCACCCACCAAACTGCAACCCCGTGGTTTTGCTCATACCCATCCTCACCTCTCTACTCCCACCCCTTCCCATAACAAGTTTTAGTAGTCATCTTTCTGTTTTTACAATAATGATATTAATGCCGTATTTGTCCTTAAGAGACTGAGTTAGTTTACTCAGCATAATGCTCTCCAGTCTCTCCCAAGTTATGTAGTAATTTTTCAAAATCATTGCTCCTGAGTGCTGCATAGTATTCCATTGTGTGAATGTCCCACTATTTTTCAACCCATTCAGTTGTGGTTGGACATTTGGGCTGTTGCTGTATTCTTGCAATGGTGAATAATGTTAAGAAAATTGGTGTACAACTTAGAAAACTTTTTAAGTTATTTTAGGACTACTTGTTTGGCTGCTGAGAAAAATCTGTGAAATAATACTTCTGGATGATTTTGAACCTTTTGAAATTCACATCTTCTGTGTCTCACTATAGGTATTTGTTCACTTCTACTTTAGTTTGTGTCTTTCCACAACACTGACACTTTTCTGTATGCCTGTCTTTGTTGGTCTGCTTTTTTAACATTGATACTCACCAAGACCTTTTTGCTAAGTCAGAGACAGAAAATACTCTATGACGTCAATTAGATAAGTAATTTTAAGGAGTTGAGATTTTACTATTATTACCTCTAACAACCTTTGACATTATTATTACATAAGTATTTTATTATTTTTTTATTTCATAGAGATTATCCTTAAATAATGACATATTTGAAGCAAACTCTGATAGTGATCAGCAAAGTGAGACAAAGGAAGATACATCTTCAAAGAAGAAAAAGAAAAAATTAAGACAAAGAGAGGAGAAAAGTCCAGATGATTTGAAAAAGAAAAAACCAAAGACTGGGAAAGTAAAAGATAAGTCCACTTCAGATCTGGAGAGCTCCACAGACAATTTAGGTTTTGATCTAAGGACAAAGAAAAGAATACTGGATGTCAAAGAAGACTTAAAGGAATTTAAAAAGTCCAAGAAAGATGATCCAAAAGAACTAAAGAAAGTGAAAAAGAATGAATTAAAAGATTTTAAGACGAAAGTAAGAGAATATGTTAAAGAAAACAGAAAAGCAAAAAAAGACAAATACACTGAATCTCAGGAGTCTGAATCAAGTATTCTAAATGATTCCCTTTCTCAAGATGATGACAATGAAGATTTACATTCTGACAAAGAAGAGAAGCAAAAGTTTAAAGGTACAAAAGAGAAACTAGGTCGAGATACAGTTTCAGATGTTTTTGATAAACAATTAGATGACAAAGTAAGTGCTGATGAGGATAGTGATGTGAGGACAGAGAGGAAAAAGAAGAAAGTAAGGAAAGCTGAAGAACATAAAGAGAACAAAAAGGTAGATAACAGTGACCTTTTCTCAGAGAAGAAAAATACATTTAAAAAGCAAAGGAATCAAGACAAAGGCAAAAGTACCACCGAGACATCTCCATCTGTCCCGGCACAAAAAGCTGGAGAAGAGAGAGGCCTCAGTTTCACTGATTCAACTGGAAAGGTAAGCCATTGAGGCAAAGGAACTGGGGAGGGAGGCGGGGGTGCGGAGCAGGGGGGACAGGATGAGTGGATTGAAGAAAAGTGACAGTTAACATCTTACAGAATATTCAGCTTTTCTTCTGTGTTCTTTTGAGTGCTCAACAAGTTCCCCAGCTGCCTAATGAAGGGGACACAATAAAACAGACTGCACAAATAGTTTCCGTTTCATCAAGGCATTGCTTATTTTGTACGACTAATACAGGTAGTTAAAAATGGTGAAAATTATCCAGTATAGGTACATTCTGGTTAACTTCTTCATCTTTGATATGTGTGGGTTGTTTTTTTTTATTATTAGATTGATGATAACTAGAAAATTGAGGTCTAAATGCTCACTCAGCTCTCATTGCTGTCAAGTTGGAACCCAGTTCATCTGTGGGAGGCCACAGCCTCCCATAAGGTATTGCCCACCTTTCTCCTGTGCTGGTTAATTCTGTCAGGATGTGCATTGCACCTCCCTGCACACTACACCACCCCAGTTTCCTAATTTATGCGCACAGTCTGAATTTTTTATTTATTTTTTTCTTTTCATTTAGGCTTACCCCTTCCCACACCTAACCCCCTCAACCTTAAGAATGTATCTCTTTTTTCTTACATAATACACAGAATACCTTAATGTGAAATGCATTTTTTAATTCTTACATAAACTTATTTTATAGCGAGTTTGTCCTAGAGCCCTGGTAGGACAGTGTTTAAGTACCTAAATGCTAACCAGAAAGTTGGTGATTCAAATGCACCATTTGCTCTAAAGATGTGACAGACTGCTTTCAAAAAGATTACAGTTTTGGAAACCCTGTGAGGGAAATTCTGTGCTTTTCTATAGCATTGCTTACAGTTGGAAGCTACTTGACAGCAGTGGATTTAATTTGAGTGTTTTGGTTGTCCTTTTATTAGAAAAATTGTTTTTGTTTCATTTAAAAAATGGAAATATTTCTAAATTATTCATAATATACAGTTTGAATGGCTGTAAAAAATATCTTTTTCTTTTCATCAATTGTTTTTGGAAATTTTCTTAAATTTTTTAAAAGGGGAAAAATGTGTATCAAAATAGTTACAGCAGTATTATCTTCTGTACTGAAAATCTAAAGAGTGTCCACCCATGGAGGAAACGGTTAAAAAATGTCAGGGTATCATCTTGGCATTTATTACTTAACCATCATCATTTTAATTATGGAATTAAGTAGAAAGAATAGAATATATAAAATGTTATGGTATACATCATGAAAAATATGCAAAGTAGATTAAAAAATAATTTTAAAAAGTATTTGTAAAGTAACAGAGTACTTACGAAAATAACAACAAACTCCTCCAATGTAGGAGGAGTTTTGAGAAATAAAAATAAACATGTGTTACTAGTAGGAATCTGGGATTTTTAAAAAAGGTTTCTTCATCTTGGTGATGGTGGTTTAACAGTGAATTCTTTGAGGAAATTGCTGTTGAGTTTTAATTTGACATTTTGTAAATTAAGTAATTGAAGGATATCTGATTAAGAAAGCCGTTTATGTGGGAAAAATATTTATTAATCAGTGCTCATACATATATAAAAAGATAGCAGTTGACCATAAACTTTTTTTTTTTGACCATAAACTTTTTATTTCTGCATTTGAATTTGTCATCTCTCTAACTTTTCTTTCTTACCTGTATTTTAACCTTTGTGTCTCAGGAAAAAGAGATCAAGAAAAGTGAACCCAAAGAAAAATATCAGAAAAGACATGATTCTGACAAAGATGAAAAAGGCAGAAAAGAGCCAAAGGGATTAAAGAGTGAGTGTGAATGCTAATATTTTGCCATTTAATAGTGTTATATTTTATGCAATTTAATTTGCTGTCAAGACCGACTCTTCTTCTAACTTGGAGTGGCATAGAGCTTGAAGTCTTAATTCCTAGGGAATTTAGAGTGTTACTCTAAGTTCTGCTGAAATAATTAAATATCATGCTGTAATCTGCTTACTTGATCAGACCTGTTGATGTTGAGTTGATTCCAACTAATGATGACCCATGTGTTACATAGTAGAACTGTGCTCCCTAGGGTTTTCTTAAATGCAATCTTTATGGAAGCATCTAGCTCTTTATCCCATGATGCTGTTGGGTGAGTCCAAACCCTTGTTATTAGGTACCATCAAGCCAACTACAACTCATAGTGACCCTATGAACAGTGCATTTAAATCCTGTCCTATCTTGTGCCATCCTCATCATCTCTCATATAATTGAGTCCACTGTTATAATTGCTGTGTCAATCTATCTTATTGAGGATCTTCTTCTCTTTTCAACCATGATGTCTTCTTTTGAGGACTGGTCTCTCTTTAACAACATACTTAAAATATGTAAGACTAAATTTCCCAACCATGCCTCCAAGGAGCACCCTGGTTGTATTTTCAACAAGAAACAAGTTTTTTTGGCAGTCTATGTAATATTCACTACCCTTCTCCAACACTAAAATGGAAAAGCATCCATTCTGTCATTCTCAATCATTGTCCCAATTTTAGATACATAGCAAGCAATTGAAAACAACCCTTGGTTTTTAAGCTGACAACATTACTCCTTAACATCCTAGAGAGGTCCTTGACAGCAACCCTTGCTGTGTAACAATTTATATTAAGACTTTATAACTAATTTTTCTTCTTATGTTTGACTTCCTTTTCTTCCTATTGAGTATGATGATGAAGGTTAAAATTCCAAGAAGAAATTAGTTAGGCTGAAAAAGAAATGTCTCCTTTCTAAAAAGAAGCAAACAAACAAAAAAATTCATAGCTGGTCCTGCAAGCAGGTTTTCAGAGGCTATATAAATCATGCAAGGAGAAACTATTCCATCTTTCTCCAACAGAACAGCTTATGGGTTTAAAACTCTCTGCTTTTGGGTTGGCAGTATAACTCCTTATCCATTAGACCACCAGAGCTCTCTGGTTTGTTTTTGTGAAAAGAGCAAGGGCAATGTGGGAATGACCATATCTAACCTCTACTGACTGTACATCTTTCCAAGGGGGAGCTACCCCCATCAACAACATCCACACTACAAAACCAAGTGCCATGACACAGACCTGTCTCCTATGTTCACCTCCCTATTTCTACTAATTCCAACACCAATCTTACTGTTCTACTGGGTCTGAAATCCATTGGAATAACTATACAGACTTTACAAAACTATGCTTATGGGGGTTAATTAGGGAAGTGTACAGGTTATAGTCCTGCCAATTATGGTATTTCTCCTGTATTTCCCCAGCAAGCTTGAGTGAAGTTTCCTAGTCACGTTAAGATATGCCTTAATTGAGACTCTACAACATCAATGACAATTGTGGGTGTGCAAAACCTATACCTAGATCAAGAGGCTATTGTGCAGAGCAAGAAAATACTTCATGGTTTAAAATTAGGAAAGGGATGTGTCAGGGTTGTATTCTTTCTCCATACCTATTCTGTCAGTATGCTGAGAAATTATATGAGAAGCTGAACTCTGTGAACAAGAATGTGGCATCAGGATCCTAGCACTGGTTTGTAGGGTAATAGTCCCAGTGTCAGCTCTCTCTCATGTCAGGTTTCTGGTTCTCTGCTGTGGTTGATGCTGCTCTCCTATAGGTCTGGCTAGTGCAAGAATCTCTGGTCCAAAGGGTGTGTGCTTTAATCTCTGCCTTTTTACTGGTAGTGAGGGTCTCAAATTCTGCTACTGAATCCACTCAATTTGATGGCGACTAACCAGTCCATTTGTGGATAGACTAAAATGCCTTATTTGCAGATTCTCAATCATCCATGTGGCAAAGTCAAAGTCAGTGACTAGGAAAGCCATTTTGTATAATAAACTCTTAACAGCACAGGAACCCATGGTTCTCTAAGAGAGAATTTATTTTCTCTGAGTTTTCTCATCAGAACTGTTCCTAAAAAACAGTATGCAACTGAAGTAATATTAAAAGTGATTTTGGGTTTAGGGAAAGGGTTCTGGTAATTGCAGCTAGAAAGGAGCAATAGTTTAATGAACATATACAGAGTGAGTATAATTTAAAGACTATCTGTTCATAATAAAAACATTTTAGCAACGATGGTAAGATGGTGAATCTTCACCTCACTTATTTTGAGCATATGTATTTTCAGGAGGAACCAGTCTTTAGAGAGAAACATTATGGTGGAAAATGTAGAGAGTAACTGAAAGAAAAGACGACCCTCAATTATATGGATTGATGCAATGACTGCCAGTACCGGCTTAAGAGTGACCGGGATCGTGAGGATGGTGCAGGACAGGGAAAGCTTCCAGTCTGTTTAAAGGTCACTTACTGCTCATAGTGGACTTGGCCACACATAACAACAACTCATCTTGGAGAAGAAAATGTTTTATCATTGTTGTTGTTAGGTGCTATTGAGTTGATTTCAGTTGATAACAATACTGTACAACGTAACAAAACCTGCCTGATCTTATACTATCCTCACTGACTAACCTGTGGATTTGATTTATGGATTAGGTGATAGAACCAACACCGTTTTAAAACACCTGTTTCTTTCATTCTTTAATGTTCTTTTCTTTAGTGCTTCCCAGTGTTAATACTAACCCAAACTAATTGCATCAGAAATTTGTGGCTAATTTTTTACCATCACTTTTACTTTTTTCACTAGCATTTAAGGAAATCAGAAGTGCATTTGATATATTTAAATTAACTGCAGAAGAAAAAAATGAACTCAATGAGAATATTCGAAAGAAAGAAGAAATACCATTGGATTATAAAATTACAGAAGATCACAAAGCCAAGGATAACAGGTTTCTTAAAGACAGGAGAAATACGAGAGATGAAACAGATACTTGGGCATATATAGCTGCTGAAGGTGATCAAGAAGTTCTAGACAGTGTTTGTCAAGCAGATGAAAATTCTGGTGAGTATGTTTGTCATAATGTTGCAAAATTTTTTCAGAGTTGTGCACTATTTTACTCTTTGTTTTTGTCTACTCTTGATTATATATTTTATTTTATTCCTTTCAAAAAATTACCAAATATATGCTTACTATATTCAGCCTTTTAACTTTTCAGTATATCACAATAAGATGATCTTATCAGTGCTGTTCTGAGAGTATTGGAATTGACCAAGAAGGAGGGAAGCATCTTCTATAGAATACAAGCACAATAGCTGTGGGTTAGTGTTGTTATAATTAGGCACCATCAAGTTGACTACAACACATAGGAACCTGTTGAGCAACAGATCTTAACCCTACCCCATTTCTTTACCATCCCTGAGGCTGTTGCTGTAGTCACTGTGCCACCTTTCCAACCATGATGACCCTTTACAAAGAATAGCACCTCCAACAACATGCCCAAAATGTGTGAGACGGCTCTTCACCAAGTATCTTTCATAATGGTGAAGCATTGGAAATATTTCTTTTAAAATTAGGAGCAAGGATGGATTTTTTTCATCAGTTTTATTCAACATAGTACTATGTCTAACTGCTGTGTAGTAAAATACATAAAAAGTTCATAAGCATTGGAAAGGAAGCAGCAGCGACAAAAAAATTACCCATGTCATACAAAACTCAAAAGAATCTGAATAAATTATTGAAAATAACACTGATTTAATAAGGTGAGTGGCTATAAGTTGACATATAAAAAGAAATGTTACATTTCAACACACTGACATCAAATAGTGAATAAAATATTTTAAAGATATAACTTAGAATATTAAATTTTTAATAACGTATTCAGGGAGCTCTGGTGGCCTAGTGACAGGAAGCTGCACTGCAATCCCAGAGGTGCGCGGTTTGAATCCACCAGGTGCACTGCTGGAGAAGGAGGGACGATCTCCTCCTGCACCAGTCAGATCTGATTTGATGGTACATACACAAAATAATAAAATTATAGGGGAAAAAATGGCATTTTAAAAAAGAATTTAAACAGTGTTCATGAAAGATATGCAAACCTGTGTGATCAAAATTATTAAAATCATATAACCAATAAGAACACAGGATTATCAATTTGATATTTTACTTCAGATTGGTTTCTAGAACCTTGTGAAATAGGATATTATGTGGCTTTGATTTTATGTAAACACTTTTGACCTTTTGGGAGCTTTCTTTTTTCCTGATTGTCTCTGCAGAAGCCGCTGGACCAGAGGAACTAATGTCAGAGGCTCTAAGCTCCCAGCTGCAGCACAGAAGGCAGCTGTGGAAACACCCAGCCCCACCCTGTGTTCTGCCTTCCTGCCCAGTAGAATCTGCATTCAAAGCCATGTTCTTTGCCTTACCAGTCTATATCCCACTGGTGGTTCAGTGTGGTAGGAGTTTGGGTTTGTTTTTAGATGCCATTGAGTCAACCCATAATGACCCTATGAGCAACAGATCTGAACCATCATCACATCTCTGACACACTCAAGCCCATTGCTACTGTCACTGTGCCAGTCTACCTTGTTGAGGGTTTCTTCTTTGCCTTTTCTCCACCTTCCTGAGCATGATGTCCCTCTCCAATGAATAGCCTTAGGGTCTTTAAAAGTATTGTTTTTGTTATGTGCCAACTTTACACACAGTAGCTCTGAACCCTGCCCTATCCTGAGCTAATCTCACTGTTTTTGCCACACACTACCCCAGTTACTGTGTCAGTCCATCTCCTCCAGGGTCTTTCTCTCTTGTGCTGGCCCTCCATCCTTGCAAGCAGGACATCCTCCTTCTTCTTTTTTTTATCCCCCCAAATTTTTTATTTTTTTGAGTGTATGTGTACCGTCAAATTGTATCTGACTGGTAGAGGAATAGATTGCCCTGCCTTCTCCAGCAGAGCATCTGGTGGATTGGAACTGTTTATCTCTGGGGTTGCAGTGCAGCTTCTTGCCACTAGGCTGCCAGAACTCCGTAGGATGTCCCTCAAGGACTGGTCCTTCTGGGCAACATGCCTAAAGTATGTGAGATGGAGCTTCAAAATCCTTGCCTCTAAGGAGCGACATAGTTTCTCCAGGATAGACAAGTTTTTGTTCTGTTGGCAGTCCATTAAAGCTACTAGGGGAGCTCTTTTCATTTGGGATAGGAAGAAAAGAAAAAGCATTTGATACTAAGTAACACATTATCTGTACTCCTAAATGACTTAGATGCAAATCTTAGTTACTGATTATGTTAGTAATAAGGAGTGAAGATGCCTGTTTTAGTATTAATGAACAAGGGATCAGACCTTGGAAGAGGGAAACAAATATTTGTTTTAAGATATAGTTTTGTAAAACACAGTGTATGGGAATGACTGTATGAAACACAGTGGGAATGAAGGAAAGGGTGAAACACAATGTATACAAATTTTGTATGCAAACCAACATGAATAAACTTTTTTAAAAGGTATAATTAATTAATTGGTGGTGGAACCTAGGATCCTGTGAGAGTTTGAGGGTTGGGTTATCATGCAGGGAGTGTGTCTAGAAAGAGAAGTTTGAGCTGAACCCAGAAGGATCAATAAGCAGTGACTTACTTATATACAGATTGTTGTTGTTGTGTGCCATCAAGTCAGAGCTGACCCTCCAGTGGGTTTTCAGAGGCAGTTTAATTACATGGGAGGGGATTGTCCCTTCTTTATCCTCTGAGCAGCTGCGGGATTTGAACTATGTACCTTCGGGATTGCAGTGCAGCTCTTTACCACTCGACCACCAGAGCTCCTTAATAGAGATTGTTGTTGCTTTTAATTGCCATCGAGTTGTGCACAACTCATAGCAACTCTATGAACAAAACCTGAGTCCTTTCTATAACTATTGTTTCTCCAAGTTCATAGAGTTTCCAGAGGCATGTGGTTTAGGAAGTGGATACCACTCCTGCTTCCAAACCTGTCTTAAAACTGGAAGCTCCACCAAATACTGTCCACCATGGGCAGCGATTATGGCGTTTGAGACACCAGTGGCACAAGGTTCAGCCTTACTGCAAACCCAGATTACAGCAAATTGATAGAAAGGGGCTGTAGGATTTAGAAGAATGTTCTTCCAACTATAGTAACAAGGAATTAAAATATAATCCCTCAGGCCCAACTTTTAAACTCAAGGGCCCTCCAGGAGGCCTTGTTGACTCTATAAACAAGAGGCTTAAATAAAAACAGCAACCACCGAACTTTCAACTTTTGCAGTAACACTCAACCAAAACAAGAGAGCCCATCTTTCAGAGTCCAGTCACTTCACCCAGTCTCCAAAGTGGAGACGAGGTGCAGGTGTCCTCTTGGAGGTCTTGGTGGCTCTAAAACAAGAGGCTTAAATAAAAACAATGAAATGATCCTCATAGATCCTCAGCCAAAACAAGTGCACCATCATACAGGTTCCAGCCACTTCATCCAAGTCCAAAATGAAGATAAGGGCTTGGTTGTTGTTAAGTGTCTAGTACTGATCCTACTAGATATACAAATGTTCAGTGACTTACAAAAGGAGCTCTTGTGGTTGTGGGCGAGACATTCAATGGTTTACCAAAAGGTTGGCAGTTTAAACTCAACGCCTCTCTTTGGGAGAAGAATGGGACAGTCTGCTTTCAGAAATATAGAGGGAGATCTGGTGGCCCAGTGGCAAAAAGTTATACTGCAATCCTGAAGGCATGCAGTTTGAATATACCAGATGCTCCACTGGAGGAGTGGCACTCTCCTGTGCAAGTCAGAACTGATTTGACAGGCCACCAAAAAAGAGAGAGAGAAAAAAAATATATATAGTTTTGGAATGCCTGTGTCATTGTCCTACATGATTGGTGTGCATATTGACTCAGTGGACAGAGGTTTGATTTGGTTCCCTTTGTATATGGCTAGAAGTGGGGTAGATCGTTGAAGAAAGGTCAGAGCAAGCAAAAGTATGTAAGAGTATGGCAAATTATGTAAGAGTCTGTTTTGTGGATCCTGTGACTCTTTATTTCATCTCTACCTTTGAAGTACTGTAATACTAAAATATGGATAACTCTTGTTACTTTCCAAAGAAAATAAGAAATTTTAACAATTGAAAGACTCAGTTATATAATAACCTATGTTAAAAGTATATGTAAAGTTTAGGTTAAGAAACCACGAATTTTATACAATAACAGTGTAGTACAGAAAAATGTGTCTTAGTAAGAATCTTCTGTGTTCTAGATGGCAAGCAACAACTTTTGAGTTTGGGAATGGACTTGCAGTTGGAATGGATGAAACTGGAAGATTTTCAAAAGCATCTTGATGGAGAAGATGAGAATTTTACCACAGCAGATGCAATTCCAAGTAGTGAGTGATTTTGATATTATAGGATTCCTTTTCCTAGTTCTGGGTATATCGATCCTCATTTGTTTTTCTTTCATTTCAGATTTATTGAGGGATGCTGTGAAAAATGGGGACTATATTACTGTGAAGATTGCACTTAATTCAAGTGAAGAATATAACCTTGAACAAGAGGTAATAGTTGTTTTTAATATTCTCATGAAAGGTAGTTGGAAAGTTGTTGTGTACTGTTGAGTCGGAACCAATCCATAGCTGACCCTCAGATGTGTTTTCAGAGGCATTAAGTCTCATGGGAGGAGATTTGCCTGTCTTTCCCTTGAGGAAAAGCTGGTGGTTTTCTACTGTGTACCTTTGTGTTGGTTGCGCAGTGCCTTACCACTAAGCCTCCAGAACACTCTAGTTGGAAAATAGCACTTTTAAAGCATTCTGTTCATTTTTTTCTTTTCCTTCTTTTCAAATTAACAAAAGTAAGATACAATCAAGTTATAAACTTTGTAGACTATGTGATACAGAAAATTTTAGTTCTATAAATCTACCTCCCCATCTCTGCTCAAAATTAGCATCTGGTTGTGTTGCTATTTATCTTTGAGTTATCACTTGTTTAAATCTCTGCTAGTTTGGATGGTATGGTCATTTGTATTTCTCTCATGGTTGCCTGTTTACAGTTACCCTTCTGCATCTGTCATAATTCTCTAGTACTGTTATAACTGTGTGTGCGCTCTCTATCTCTCTCTCACACATTGCTGCTGAGTTGGAACTGTCTCCTAGCTGTTCACATTTGTTGTTTAGAGGGTTGCTATGAGTCAACTCGACAGCTTCTAACAACAAAAACGGGATCCTGCATCCAATTTGTCATCTTCTGACATCTCATTTTTGAGAAATAAGGCAACATCCTTTTGCCTGACTTTTAAATTTTGGGTTTGTCAGCCCCTGCAGCCGTGCAGGAATCAGAAGAAACCCTCAACGTTATGCCTGACTCACAGATGTAGGACTTACCAGTCCCTTCCACTGCATAAGCCACTCTCTGGAGAGAAATCTCTTTGTATGTACACAAACACACACTGGTTCTCTAGAGAATCCAGCCTGTGACATGGGACTACATTATGGGTCCAGCATTGTTCCTTTTCATGTGGAGATGACAGTTGTCCCACTTCTGTTTATTTAAGAGATTCTTCTAGATCCCTGTTGGCACTCTTGGAAAAAATTAGCTGATAATAGATGTATGGATTTATGTCTGGACTCTTATTTTATTTCTTTGATTTGTGAATTTCTTTACCTACTTCTGAATTTCTTATGTTTGAAGAAACCACTTATAGAAAACCTAGCAATTGCGATTGTATAGACCAACATTTATCTAAGCCTAATCATATTCATTTTAGTTTGTTAACAATAGAATGGACTTATGTAACTTGGAATAGTCACTTCTTGCCTCATATCTTTGGAACAGTTTAAATTAATAAAATGAACATAGGAGTTTTACCTTGAGGTTAAAGAGAATTTAGACTGAAATGTGAGAGGAAAAAAATCAGGACCTTTGCTGTTTATGTAGCATTAAGATAATGCTGTGCCGTTTATGTCCTGCAAGTTGTCAGTACCTTTAGTGTGAAATACCTAGATTAGAAAATGTATGGTAACTCTTTTAGATGGAAACAACTAATAAATGAATGTTTGTTTCTGAATCTCTAATAGAATGCTTTAATTAAAAAAGTTTAGTAGATTATTAAGGAAATGCAGTTTAGTAATTTTGTGTTTATATGTCCTAGGTAAAGAGAATTAATTATAGAATTTTTCTGATTAAATATTAACATATCTCTCTAACTACTTCCTTCTACTTTTTCTCATCCCACCAATGAGTAAGGATTCAAGTGGGATGACTCTGGTGATGCTTGCTGCAGCTGGAGGACAGGATGACCTCCTCAGACTTCTCATCAAAAAAGGAGCCAAAGTGAATGGGAGACAGAAGAATGGGACCACCGCACTGATTCACGCAGCTGAGAAGGTTAGACATTCCACAGTGCTTCAGTTTTACAGTGGAATTTCTGCCAGTGGACTTAGGAGAGAATCTTGGTGAACTCTAATGAGGACGGGGGGAGAGCATGAAGTTCTGTAACTTTTTAATTCATATTTCATCTGAACAATGACATGTAAAGAATCAGTGTTTTTAATAACAGTAGGTTACGTAATTGTATTTTTAAAAAGAGATTTATCTGGCGAGCTCTGGTGGCCTAGTGGAGGGAGGCTGCGCTGCAATCCTAGAGGTACATGGTTTGAGTCCACCAGATGCTATGCTGAATAAGGAGGAATGGTCTCCTCCTGTACTGATCAGATCAGATTTGATAGTACACACACACAAAATAATAATTTTTTTTAAAAAGAGATTTATCTATATTTTATGTTTAAAATTATTTCCTCTTAAGATGTTTTCTTGATAATCTCATTAAAACATATTGCCTTTTCAAAGGGAAACGGGATTATATGTGAGGTTGAAATTGCTGGCAAAATAGCACGTGATTGTGTATTAGTGCATGAGAACTAGTGCATGAGAGCGCTAGGGGCTGGGTTCATAGCACATCACATCCTCACAGGAATCTGTTAGTGAAGACATGAGAGTAATGTACTTAGCAACCTTCTTGACACAAACTGCTAATGACTAAATATCCAAATATTTTTAATTATCTCTTAAAGAATTTTTGGAATTCAATTTTTGTTTGTTTGTTTGTTTTTAATAGAACTTTTTAACAACTGTGGCTATTCTTTTGGAAGCTGGAGCTTTTGTGAATGTCCAGCAGAGCAATGGTGAGACGGCTTTAATGAAGGTAAATACATTACGCAGAACAAGTACTAAGGGTGGTGTCTGTGGTCGGCCCAGGTCAGCCTCGTCCTGGAATATGATGAGAAACGAGAATAGTCTCTGGACTCAAGCATTGTGTGAATAAATAGGTCAAGTAGACTCATAAGTAAGCAAACAGGATATAGCTCATTGTGTGAGCAGCAAGAACTGCAGGTTATGTCAAAGGGCCACTGGACTGGGTCTCCAGGACTCAGAGATCCTTGAGTGAACTTAACTGAGAAAGGGAAGGGCCAGTCAGTCTGTACCTAATGGGAGAAAATGTATTTGCTTTAAGAGATCTGGTGGTCTAGTGTTAAAGAGTTGCACTGCCAACCCAAAGGCAGGCAGAGATAAGTTCCCCAGCTGTGCTCTGGTGAAAGATGGGCAGTTTTCTCCTGTGCATCCTCTGAAGACCTGTTGGAGGGTTAGTTAACTTTGAGTTCTGACTTAGGGGCACATGTGAACCGAAAACTAAAGCCCATTACCATCAAGTTTACACTGACTCTTAGTGACCCTATAAGGCAAGATGGAATTGGCCATGGCATTTCCAAGGGTTTACTCTTTGTAAGAGCAGATTGCCATGGAATGGCTGGTGAGTTCAGACTACCAACATTATAGTCTGCAGCCCCTATGTCACAGGGGGTACCGTCTAAGATATGGAAAGACCCCTAAGTGGAAATGTAAAATGGAACAGTCTCTCTCTCAAAGAATTTAGTGGTTTCCATTTGGCTTGAGTCCACAATCAGTGCCCATGAAAGTAGTAGCCAAAACAAATGACAACATGAAGAAATAATTTTTTTAAAGTGTTGCCTTTAGAAATTAATTTTGTGGAAGTATGCTTAGGTAGAGTATATGTATACATCTAATGTCATTATATTGAACAAAGTTGAGATACAGGTAAGTGTCCATCAATAGGGAAGTGGTAAAATGAATGAATTTCTGTGCCATGAACATACAGCTATGAAAAAGGAAGGTATAAATAATAGGATACATTGATATTTAAAAAATACTATGATTATGTAATTACTGCTTTCTTCCCATAGGCCTGTAAAAGAGGAAATTCAGACATTGTGCGGCTTGTTATTGAATGTGGAGCAGACTGTAATATTTTGTCAAAGCACCAGAATAGTGCACTCCATTTCGCGAAGCAGTGTAACAATGTGTTGGTGTATGATCTGCTGAAGAATCATTTAGAAACGTAAGTATGAAGTAAATTTACCGCAATTAAAACACAGAGTTTGATATAGCTCTTAGTTTGAACACATTATATAACCTGTTTGTAACTGCTCAGAAAAGGATTATCAAGTGCAGGTCCTAGTGGACTACTCTTCTCATCAGATGTTAATTTAATAAGTGGCATTTGAATTCTTTCCCTACAAGTCATTGAGGTATGAGAAACTATCATACCTTCATGTCTAGGATTACCTCCATAAAATGTTACTTTTGCTCGCATATGTTTTCTTAAAAATACTCCAACTTTAGTTTAAATTACCTCAGATGAATTCTATATTTCCTTTAATTTTGTGCTCATTTTTATAACTGTTATCTTTATTACTTCAGAATTCTCCTGATAGCATGTAATAGAAAGGCTATAAGCAGTAGCCAGCCTAGAGAAGACTATGACTTTCTTATAGCAGGACCTGTAGGGAAAGGCAACCCTAAGCAGATACAGCGAAATCACTTTGTCACACACCCCCACCCCCCTGCTGACTCCAGTACTTAGGACATGACTCTGTCATGCCTGCAAGATGATTACTCCAGTTCTAGACACAGGATCTGCATGAAATATACAATATGCCCAAGTCATGAGCTTGGTATCTACCCACTTTAACAGTCCTGCTGGAAACTTCACTCAGCAAGGGTCATCTTCTGCCTTTCTGGCCAGCCTTGGTCCATTGGTACATGAGTGACTGCCAGGAGTCCTGGGAGCCACTGTTTCAGATGGGCAGGTTGCCACGTGGAACCAAGTCACTTGTATTATTAGAGGAAAAGAAGGCAAAATGGGTTTAGGGTAGGAAAAGAGATCTCTGCCACATCGCAAGGCATTTGATCATATTAGTGGCCCACATGTGGTGGCCTAGAAGTTTGCCAGGTTTCCTGGGACTGAGGGTTTATCAGGTTACTTACTTGGTGATAGAATGGTCCTAAGCGGCTTACTGGTGTCGGGGCCTTTGAGAGCTCATATTAGATGATTTGGCCATCCAGTGGCAAGACAGCGTCAAGATACTTTGCTGGATCAGATAACATTGGCCACTGTACATTTCTTTCTCAGCTGAGCACTATAACAAGTTGTTGTTACGTGCCATCGAGTAACTTGAGACTCAGAGCGACCCGATATACAATAGCCCTAAACTCTGCTCTGTCCTGTGCAAATCTCACTGTCTTCCACATACCCATCCCTATTACCCCAGTCACTGAATCAATCCACCTCATAGAGAGCCTTCCCCTCCTGCACCTGCTCTCCACCTTCCTAAGAATGAGGTCCTTTTCTAAGGACCAGTCTCTCCTTACAACATGACCAAAGTATGTGACACAAAGCTTCAGAATTCTTTTCTCCAAGGAGTCGCCCAGTTTAACCCTCTCTAGGATAAATCTGTTTGTTTTCTTAGCAGTCCATGGTACCCTCAGCATTCTTCTTCAACACCAAAGCTCAAAGGCATCAATTCTTCTTCTATCCTCCCTAGTCATTGTCCAACTCTCTGACGCATAAAAAGTGATTGCAAAGACCATGGCCTGTATCAAGACTGGAGAGTTACTCCTGAATTTCTTAATAGAGTCCTTTCTCGTTTTTCAGAATGTTAATTCACTAAATACATGTGTCCTGAGCACCAGCTGTGTGACAGGCGCTTCTAGAGGGTCAAGGATATAGATAGAGATGGGCAGGAAAGACAAAGACCTTCCTCTCTTGAGATTTACATTCCAGTGAGAGCAGCTAGATGGTTTTTAAACTTGTTAGATGCTGAATTCTAAAGAAAAAGAAAGCAGGGGGCTAGTGTTGCTGATTGTAAAAAGATCAGACAGCCTCACTATATTCAACCCTAGAATTAGTTTATGGCTCATGGTACTTTTCTGTGTTAACACTGACAACTCTTACTATATATACTTTTTTATTAGACTTTCAAGAGTAGCAGAAGATACCATAAGGGATTACTTTGAAGCCCGTCTTGCTTTGCTAGAACCAGTTTTTTTTTTCCAATAGCATGCCGTTGTCTTTGTGAGGGACCAGATTTTTCAACAGATTTCAATTATAAGCCCCCACAGAACGTACCAGAAGGTAAACCTGGCTTTTCTTTCTGAAATGTGACACTATAATTATGAAGTGGTGTGTGTAGACTATTAGAACTCTTCCTTTACAGTTTGAGGACATTGTTGTGCATGGTAATGACATAGACTTGTAAACAGCAGACAAAGAAATACAATTACAGAAAGCCTCTGACAGAAGAAACCACATTGCTCTCTTTCCCAGGTAACTGAGAAGAGTGCTTAGTCCATTGTCTTAACACTCATTTAAGAAACAAGTCATAGGGAATACATGGCAATATTAATGCAGTTTGGCCCTTAATAGTTAACTGTTTTTATTAACATTTAGCTTTATGTGGATTTTTCACTCAAATCACAATAAACATAAAAAGTCTAGTTTAAGATTCTAACCCAGGATCAACAGTGTCCCTGTTTTATTGCTGCTAGTTGTCTCTGGATTACTATGCCCTGATACAGATAATTATAAAATAAATAAATGTCTTCCCTCTAGCTTAGTGAAACATAAGTACTACTTCCTATCTTGTGCTTCATAACTAAAGTAAGAGTAAAATATAAATACCCATTTACTACAGATCTTTTATTAGTAGATGAACTAAAATATGTGTTTGTATATTATTCAGGTTCTGGTATCCTGCTGTTTATTTTCCATGCAAACTTTTTGGGGAAAGAAGTCATTGCTCGACTCTGTGGACCATGTAGTGTACAAGCAGTAGTTTTAAATGATAAATTTCAACTTCCTGTATTTCTGGTAAGATTTTTTTTTTGTAGCTCAGCAGTGAAAATTACTATGTTCTGATTAAAAAGTACAGGTTACCATTCTTTTAAAGTTCCTGTTTTAAAATATGTAATCATTAAAATTTAGTAAATCCGTTCAGTTATCTTAAACCTTGTCAATGAAAATAGAGTTCATTTTTGTACTTTGAATTATGTTTACTATTATGTTTTTGACCTTGCATTATTCTAGATTTAAACATTTATGTTTACCTGAAACAAATTGCCTGATTTTAAATACTGTAGCATATTTCCTCTATGATAATGACAAACATTGACTTAAAGAAAAATTAAAAAATTTAGAAAAGGAACTGTTATCTTTCTATTCACACTTTCTGAAACCAGTATATTAGCATTAGTTGTATATATGCTTAATTTTAAGTTCATAATTTGAGTAATCTTAATTTATTAGTTTTCTTTTTAAAATCATCATGAGTTAAAAATATGTAATAAATAATATACTAGTGGATATATAAGTGCTCTATAAAAATTCTTTTAAAGAACCATAGAAAGAGTCAGAAAGGGTTGACAGGCAGTGAGTGGGGAGGAGTAGGTTGGACAGATTATCGACTGGGTGGGCAAGGGAAAAGGATGATTATGCCGTGAGGTTTTGATAGGAGGCTGTAAAGAATCTTTATGCATTGAACAGCCATATTTATAATTTTTCCCTTAAGCTGAGTTAAAAAGCCATAACTGGCCTTATAAACATCTTTGACATACATGCTGATTATATACCTCCATGAATTCTGATATTAATGATTATATCAGAAATTGTTAGCTAAGTCTTATAAACTACATTTCTATTTGCATTATTTTTTAACAATTGAGGGGGAATAAGGAATCACAGCATACTGATTTATAAAAATTCATATATAAAACTTCTATATGATTCACTTTGAAATCCTTTTCTGATGTCTGTTATCAGAAGATTAAGGGAGTTCTGGTCGCCTAGTGGCAAGAAGCTGTACCCAGAGGTACGTGGTTCAACTCCACCAGATGCTCTGCTGGAGGAGGGGCCATCTCCTCCTGTACCAGTCAGATCTGATTTGACGGTGCACACACAAAAAATAATTAAAAAAGAAAAAGATGATTATACTGTGAAATTAACAGTTTGTTCCTTACTGAATGGAGAAGTTTCTGAAGAAATAGTGACTGACTTGGGTCTCATTCTATTCCAGGATAGCCATTTTGTTTATTCATTCAGTCCTGTTGCTGGCCTCAATAAACTCTTCATAAGATTGACAGAAGCACCCTCTGCTAAGGTGAAGACTTCCCTCACATTGACTATTACTCCCATACTGATTGTCTAAGTGACTTTCTCTGAAGTAGCTTGGCTAGAGAGAGTACTGCCTAGGATTCAGTTCTAGGTCTGAATCTACAATAAGTCAGGCCTAAATAATGAAACGTGCCAAGAGTAATGAGAATATATATATCTGTATAAATCAGTTCCTCAACTATAATAATAATACTCTGTTAACCATATCCTAAAATCAAGTTATGCTAGTTTGGATTTTATGTTGCAGTACCAAACTGAAAATAATGTCAAAGAAAGAGAAATCAGTCTAGACTGTGTTTTTTTCCCTCTACCTAGAAAAAGGAGCCCTTACTTGTGTACTAATTGGTCTTTTTTCTTCCACTAGGTTAAGTTGCTGATAGGTGCCTACAGAGTGCAGCTGCAGTGATGGAGAACGTTCCAGACTGATTTTTAAATACTCTCTTCTAAGCAGTTTAGAATCCTTCTGGCACACCTAACACTTTCAGATTTGAAGTCTCATCTGTAAACCTCTCGCAGTTCAGGGCTTGCCATCTGTTTTAGTTTGTAAGGTGGGACACAGTTGTTCTGATAGATTAGAAAATATTAACATAAGTTGTTATTTGTGCCAGTGTTCTGAAATCTACAGGTAATGGTGTCCAGAGTGCATCTTTCAGTTTTCCACAATGTGGAATGCTAAGTGAATATTATTTAAGAAAATTAAAGAAAAGATTTTTACTAAACTTGAAGTTTTCTATTATCCCTAGTGAATTTTTGTGGATTGTCTGGTTTTAATCTGGTTTTTTTAAAGTCAAGGGTAATGTTTTTATTAGCTTATAGCAGGGAAGCATGTCAGATTCAGAATACCTACATGCTACATGTAGTGTGAGTTTGTGGTCCTGGAAATGTGACTAGCGTGACTAGCATGCTGACGGGGAAGGATCTTCTCTGCTTATAATAGAGTAATAATATCTGAATCTATGATACAGCAAGAATGTAAACCCGTTAGCCTTAAAAGAAATGTTTAGTTATGAGCTTTCGTCCTGTTCTTGTATTCCATCAAGTAATTTGGTGAAGCCAGATCCTGTGATCTTGTTTTGAAAAATTGGAACTGTGCCTTGCCGTCCTGGCTATTTCCAGTGCCACAGTGTGCCTCTCTGTCGACTGTGTCTGTGGATTGCTAACCAAGTGTATCCCTCATGTCCTTTTAAGACATATTTCCCACACTTTAATCAAGGTCGAGTTGTTTATTTCCTTACTAGTTTATAATTGTATGCATTGCAGTTATAATGACAATCTTTTTAGAATGTCACATAGTACATCTTCACACATTTTATAGATATTTCAGAGAGCCATTTTTATTTTACATTCCAGCACTATATTTTCCTACTGTTTCTCAATAAAATACAATAATGATTTTCTTATTTCCTCTCTGTTATGGAGTCCCAGGACTTCAAAGCGGATACTCAGTGTGTGATTCAATGTAATGAGAATTGAGAACAACCTCTTTTCCACTAAATGGAATCATATACTAATAACTGTTTTTGGTTTTATTGCTTTTGAGGGAAAATTCGGAGGTTTTAATTAGTTTAGAAGAATAGTGAGGGACATAATAGTATTTTAGCTTCATAGAAATGAGTTTTTGAAAAATAAAATTTCTCTTATCCCAGAATCATGCCTAAAATATTAGCAACCTTCCTAGGGACACATTAGAGGATTAGGCCTTGAACACTAATGAGCGAAGACCAGATGAGTACTCTTTCTCAAGGTGTTTATTGTGTGCTGATGATGTAGCCACTGCTCCAGTGCGTTTCAGAGGCAGTGAACAGCACAGAGAAGATTGCTCATCTTTATCTGGTGGAGCAGCCGGTGGGTTCAAACCACATGCTTTCAGGTTGGCAGCTTCACTCCTTACATCCAGGTCACCTAGAGCCAAGACACAGAACAGATGGAGAGTGAGCGCCATTCACTTAGGAGATGTGGAAACTCAACACGTATGAAATACTTTAACAGGCAAGACTGGAGTCTTAAGAGGAAGGTAAATTTGGAAAAGTGGACTAACTTGTCTTTGTTTTCTGTTTTAACTGGAGTAGTGTTGAGAAGAGAAAAAACAGATTAAAATTTGAAAATGTTGCGTTTGAGTTCTGAGATTTAAGTTTTGTACCACATGGCACAGAGTTATGTGCGTATTAGAATGAATAAGAACATTATTTAACAGTTACTTTGCTCCTTAAAACTAAGTAAACACACATTCTAATTCTCTGAATTCTTGAGCACTGGCTTTAAAGATGGAAAGGGCTGGATCAGAAGTAAATTTTCACTTTAGAACTGTTGTCCTTCTGGGGAAAAACAATTCTGTAGTAGCAAAAATAGACAAAATGTAGTTAATACTCCTAGTCTAGCTCAAAGTCATTCTTAGTAACCTATATATTATTCACATCTGGAGGACGAGTACCTGGCCAACTGACTGGAAGAGATCCATATTTATTCCTATTCCAACAAAAGGTGACCTGACAGTGTGTGGAAATTAGTGTTCAATATCACACAGAAGCAAAATCCTGCTGAAGATCATCCAAAAATGACTGGAATAATACATTGACAGAGAACTACCAGAAATACAATCTTGTTTTAAAAGAGGACTACCAGAAATACAATCTTGTTTTAAAAGAGGACTATCAGAAATACAATCTTGTTTTAGAAGAGGCCATGGCACTATAGACACTATCATCAATGTCAGATGGATCTTGGCAGAAAGCAAAGAGTACCAGGAGGATATCTATCTGTGTTTGATTGACTATGCAGAGGCATTTGATTGTGTGGATCACAGCAAATTGTGGCTAAACTTGAGGAGAATGCTTGATTGTTCTCATGTAAAACCTATACTTGGATCAGGAAGCAGTCTTCAGAACAGAGCAAGGAACTGCTGCATGGTTCACAATCAGAAAGAGTGTGTCAAGGATACATCCTGTCTCCATACCCATGCCTTTTCCATCTATATGCAGAACAGATTATTCGGGGGACTGAGCTTTGTGATTAGAAATGTAGCATCAGGGTTGGAGAAAGATTCATCAAGAAACCTATGTTTTGTGGATGACACAACCCTGCTTGCTGAAACTAGGGAGGGCCTGAAGTGCTTACTGTAGAAGGTCAAGGACTGTAGTCTTCAATATGGATTGAAGCTCAACATCAAGAAGACAAAGATTCTCACCACTGGGTCAAATTGGTAGCACCATGATGGACTGAGAAGAGATTGCGGTTGTTAATAGTTACAACTTGCTTTGTTCCACAGGTAACAATCAGCACCAGCAGCCAGAAATCAAAAGACAAATAGCATTAGGTAAATCTGCTTTCAGGCACCTTTCCAGAGTCCTAAGAATCAACGATGTCAGTCTAGAGACTAAGAGGTGCCTGATCCAGACCATGGTCTTCACAATTACTTGCTATGGATGCATCAGAGAGCTGGACGATGACTAAGTTTGATAGAAGAAGAATTGATGCCTTTCTTTGAGTTGTGGTGCTGGAGAAGAGACTTGAACATACCATGAACTGCCAAGAAAACAAATAGTTCTGTCTTGGAGAGGATGAAATCAAGTTTCTCCTTGGAAGTTAGGATTTTGAATCTTTGTCTCACATACCTTGGGCACACAGTGAGGAGAGGACCAGTCCTTGGTGAAGGACATCATGCTCGGAGGGTGGAGGGACAACACAGGAGAGGATGACCCCGGATGAGATGGATTGATGCAGTAACTGGGACAATGGGGGTAGATGTGTCAGAGTCAGTGAAACTGACTCAGGACAGGAAAGGCTTCAGAGCTGTTGTGAGTTGCAGGCACCTCAACGGCACATCATGTTGTCATTACAGTGTGTTCTGCTAACATCAGTGTCAGACTAGTCACTAAAGATAGAGGTCAGAAATGCGCCACGTTTAATCAGCTATACCATGCCGCCATTTCTACCATCAACTCTCCTCCATTCAGTTTCCCCACTCTTCGATGTCTCGTGGGTTCTGTGTCTGATTCATTCTGGTGTTGCAGAGACAGGTGAGCAGTGGGCCAGGTTCTTGCACACAGTCAGTTGCAGCTGGATGCTGTCCTCCCAGGAGAGCTAGCGAGCATCGAGCTTCTATTGGCTTATTTAGGCCTCTAGTAGGGTAGTGCTTAGATGCCACAAAGTAGGTTGCAATCCCTTAACCGTATGCATGTTTTAAGGCTTGAAGGCCTCGTCCATCCTGCCAAGGGGAGCTCTGTGGTAAGAACTTGTGTGTAATCCTAAAGGCACATGGTACAAATCTTCCAGCTACTGCAGGAAGGAGAATGGGCAGGCTTTCTGTGTGACTTACAGCCTCTGAAAATCCACTGGAGGGCTAGTTGTGGGTGGATTCTGATTTGATGGTACACAGCAGCAGCAACAGTGGTGATTCATAGTGACCCTGGGTGAACAACAGACTGGAACCCTTCCCTCTCCTGTGCCATTCTCTCAATCTCTGACACACTAGAGCCCATTACTACAGTCGTCACTGTGTCAGTCCACCTGGTTGAGTCGTCTTCTCTTTCACCATCCCTTCATCTTCCCAAGCATCATATCTGTCTCCAAGAAATAGCCTCTCCTATCAACATGCCCACTGTATGTGAGACGAAGCTCTATCATATTTGTCTCCAAAGAGCACTCTTGACTGCACTTTCTCTAAGACACATCTGCTTTTTTGGAAGTCCATGCGATATTAGTACTCTTCAACACCACAGTTAAAGACATCATTTCTTCTGTCATCCTTTTTCATTATTCAGCTCTCAAATGCATAGCAAGTCATCTTACCTTAATCCTATCTTCTTTTTACAAAAAATACTTCACAAAATGGGAGGCTGTGAATGTGATCACATTAACTCATTGTGAATTATGCCATGCAGTCAGTCCCAACTCTGCTGAACCTATAGTGGGTTTCCAAGGCTGTAAATCACACAGGCAGAGACGGACCCACTTTCACTGGGGGTGACTGATGGATTCGGAGCACTGCAGCCTTGGGTGAGCAGTTCAGCTCCCTTTGGACTCCACCACCAGAGCTCTTTAGAAGTACATTAGAAAAGAAGTACAAGAATAGATTCTAGGGGAGCTCTGGTGGCCTAGTGCTAAGAAGCTGCACTGCAAGCCATAGGCTCACAGTTCGAATCCACCAGATGCTCTGCCGGGGAAGAAGGGACCATTTCCTTCTGTACCAGTCAGATCTGATTTGACGGTACACACAGAAAAAACATAATAAAATTTTTTTTAAAAAGCTAAAAAATAATAGATTCTAAGCTAATAAGAGTAAAGGAGCTGCAATACAAACCTGTTGAAATTACAGCATGAAATTGTAAAATTCAGGAACCGGGATTTCTGTAACGTCTCGTATTGGAAAACACTTTTTGCTTAATCCTGTTCAAAAGACGATGATTT